AAAACTGGAACCTGAGCATTAAAAAGCCTGATCCTAGCCTAAATATTCAAAAAAACATTTTCTGCTTTATAGGATGGTATTTACCACCAAATAATTGTAGATGAGTTTATTGCCTTAAGTTTCTTTAGTACAGGGGTGTCAAGTGACACATTGTCACGTGACGTATCACAATTTTTTTCCCCTTTGCTAAAATGGGGGGTGAGGGTGGCCAGCATGTGACTCATCTGGCCCATGGCCTGCAAGTTTGACACCCTTGCTTTAGTACATTATAATTCTGATAACAGCTGGTTGACCTGAAGATGATTAAAAACTTCAGTCCATTAATGTAAATGCAAGATTATCAAAACAGCATAAACAGAAGTTATTTAGTGTTTGAACACATACAGACGCATTATGGCACATGTCATGTATTTATCCTCCAAAATGTATCAGTTATAGTTATATGTATGCAGTTCAGTGGTAGGTTTCAAAATTTTTTACTACTGGTTCTATGGGTGTGGCTTGGTGGGCATGGCATGGCTTGGTAGGCGTGGCTTGGTGGGCGTGGCAGGGAAGGATACTGTAAAATCTTCATTCTCACCCCATTCCAGGGGAAGGATACTGCAAAATCCCCATTTCCTCCCGATCAGCTGGGACTTGGGAGGCAGAGAACAGATATGGGCAGGGCCAGTCAGAATTTTTACTACCGGTTTTCCGAACTACTCAAAATTTCTGCTACCGGTTCTCCAGAACTGATCAGAACCTGCTGAAACCCACCTCTGATGCAGTTATTAAAAATTAAATATATGGAAACAGCCTAAATCCTACATATAACTAAAAAGCTCATAAATAAATTATCCTGCACCCTAGAAAGCACATCAGATAAACAACCTTTTGATTTCCTTTTCCTGGGACATAATAGTTTCATGAATAGAATAGGGGACAGCCAGTCTCTTGTTTCAATAAAGCTAAGAAAATCAGCATGTTGAGAATTCAGCTTTGATTGAAAATCAAAGAACTTTCCCTCTGAGCTTGTTTTTGTTTTCTTTCATATTCAAAATTAAACTTCCATTGCGAATTTACTGCTAAAATTAAGCCTATTTTCAGATTAAAATTTCAGTCAATTTCCCAGAGTTGTGAGGCTAATGGGAAAGGTGTAGTCTGTAAGTAAAATTCAGCAAGAATATCTGCTACTTTTGTCATGTTGTCATGCAGACAGTGTGTGTAAACCAGTGTACCAGGAACATTGCCCAAAGCAGTGGAATAGAATAGAACAACAGAGTTGGAAGAGACCTTGGAGGTCTTCTAGTCCAACCCTCTGCCAGGAAACCCTGCCAGTGATGGCAAACCTTTTTGGCACTGAGTGCTGAAACTGGAACACGCACATGTGTGCGCCAGAGCGCCAAAGACCAGCTGGCCAGGGCGCATGCATGTGCCGGCCAGCTGGTCTTCGGGTTTCCGGCACCCCGGTATGTGTAGCCGGCGTGTATGTACATGCCGGAAATAAAAAAAGCAGCTGGCAACAGCGCACGTGCCCACAGAGAGGGCTCTGCGTGCCACCTCTGGCACACGTACCATAGGTTTGCCATCACGGCCCTGTACTATTTCAGACAAATGATCCAATCTCTTCTTAAAAACTTCCAGTGTTGGAGCATTGACAACTTCTGGAGGCAAGTTGTTCCATTGATTACTTGTTCTGTCAGGAAATTTCTCCTTAGTAACTAAGTTTCTTCTCTCCTTGATTAGTTTCCACCCATTGCTTCTTGTCCTACCCTCAGGTGCTTTGAAGAATAGTTTGACTCCCTCTTCTTTGTGGCAGCCCCTGAGATATTGGAACATTGCTATCATGTTGCCCTAGTCCTTGTTTTCATCAAACTAGACATACTCAGTTCCAGCAACTGTTCTTTATATGTTTTAGCCTAATCATCTTTGTTGCTCTTCTCTGCACTCTTTCTAGAGCCTCAACATCTTTTTTACATTTGTGGTGACCAAAACTGGATGCAGTATTCCAAGTGTGGCCTTACCAAGGCAGTATGAAGTGGTATTACCAGTTCACGTGATCTTGATTCTATCCTTCTGTTTATGCAGCCTAGAACTGTGTTGGCTTTTTTGGCAGCTGCAGCACACTGCTGGCTCATATTTAAGTGATTGTCCACTAGGACTCCAAGATCCCTCTCACAGTTACTACTATTGAGCAAGGTACCACATATACCATACCTATGCATTTTGTTTTTCTTGCCTAAATGTAGAACCTTACTTTTTTCACCATTGAATTTCATTTTGTTAGATAGTGCCCAATGTTCAAGTCTAGGAATGCATGTGGACTGAAATATTACATTCCACTTAAACATAAATGTATCAGTAGCAGCTCTTGATGTTACCATTTCAATATGTTTCACTATCATCCAAAAACGTTATGATACAATCCTGTATCTTTTTGAAGTTTTAGTCGATTGTTCACTTTAAATGATAATACATCTGTATGACTTTGAGCCCTATTTTTGTGTGTGCTTTTACCCTGAAGTCAAGTCCCGGTTTTGTGTTCTGGCAAACTCTTCTGTCCTCCGTTTCTTTGCCAGAAGCCTGGCTAATAAGAATGTATAAAAACATGAGGTATTTGTCTTCCAATTTACAGGGTGAGGTATAAAATCAAATGCCTAAATAGAATATGAGTGACAAAGAGTTTGAGCGTATTGATAGCATATATGAAAGAATAAATCTGCATTTTTGGTGATCAGCATAGACAAGCTGCTCTCTGAAGTCACCCTTTTTGCCATGGTTAACATTTCAGCCCTATTATTCAGCTTTGATAATGTGCATAAAATGCTCAGTATGATAATGAGTTGGGGTAGCTGAGAATTTAGGATGGTGGCACGTTTAGTGTAGTATTTGGATTAGCATTGTTAGCCTGCTTCTACATAGGTCACTTTGAAAAGCTTATAAACTTTAAAAATAATCTAGTTACAGCCTCTTTTTTTAGATTTTAAAAGCTTTCAAACAAGGTACCCTGCTTAAACAAATACTACCAGCATTAATTAATCAGGATGATCGTATGTAAAAGAAATGATGCCAGATAGTAACAAATCCAAGAGAAGTTTATTATGAAAATGGCACCTGCAGGATGAAAAAAATTAAGTTACATAAAGACAACCATGTATGACATGTATGAGAATCTACAAAAGTATAAAAAGAACCCTGCTGTAAATGAAGTATGTACATTTCTGATTTGCAGCATTATCAATGATCAATGAAAAAAAAAATGTTTCGAATAAGCCAGGCACTCAAGAAGTTAGATTCGGTTAGGTTAACACAAAATAAATGTACCATAGCTGTCATTTTTAAACATTTTAATTTTTTTTATATATATTGTAGAGTTGGTAACACTGCTAAGATTTATACGAACAGAATCCCTTTCCCCTTTATTCAGCTACTTGGCACCAGTCTCCTCATAAAAGATTTCATATATTTGTACAAGAAATAGTTAAAAACACAGACACAGTCTTTCACAGGTAATGAAGTTTTTTTTTCCATTTTGTAATTTTAAACACTATGGATTTAGACAGCAGCTGTGATTATCTGTTAGGTTAAATCACCAGAAATCATTTTGACACAACACAGAAACATTTATAAAAAATAAAATAAAATAAAGCAACAACAGCTGTCTAGCTGTCTTTGTAGCCGATAGGTGCACTCCTTTGATTGTTCAACAGCTAGAACTTCCAAAGCGAAACCCAAATTAGCTTCTCTTGGCCTTGGAATCTACCTAAAATCTTTCAAATTAACCCTTTACAAGCTCATTATCAAATTTTATGACATTCAGTGCCCTTTGTGGGCATCACTCTATCCCACTCTTTCTCATCTCTACTTCTCCAATTCAAACCCCATTGTACTCGGCTTCATTTCAACACAAAGGGTCATCCACTATGTAGAGAACTGCTGAGCTAAAATACATCAGCAATACATTGCACAGGTATGCAAAAATATATATTTGACAATCCAAAGCTCAGCTTTGCTTTTGAACCACATTGGTTGAGCACTCCAAGAATTTTCTATCTCTTTCTGCATTAACCAACTTGGGAGAACACCAAAGAAATGCACCCTCTACTTACAATTAGAGCACAAGGGACTCTGGAAATGTTAACAACTGAGGCTATATGGCATCAATTCATTTAATATGTCTGAGTATCATCCTTTAGTGCATTGTGTGATGCACACTGTACGAGCAAGACATACCCAGAACTCTCTGTGGGGAAAAATGGCTCCATTACCTTGAGCTAGTTAAGAGTCTTTTATCTCTGAGAATGGAAAAAGAGAGAAAGAGTTAGAAGAAGAAATTGGGAAGAAAGGTGAAGGTTGGAAGTAAACAGAGGGAGAGAAAAGTCTGAAAATACACACCAGCAAAGCAACAGCAGAAATGAAAAGGTATACAGACAGTGGAAGGCCACCACACAAAAACCACTAACCCCCAAGAATCACTGGTTCACTAGGACTGTAGGAATGGGACTTTGCCACTCCAGACTAGAGATAAAGCACAGAGAAGACAAAGGACAAAACAACTACATTAGCTTAGTATATACTGCATATAGTAACACACATTGAAACTGCAATGAGACTGACAGCCAAGGACACTTACACATTGTACACATTACAGTTTTCACATCTGTTATTAGATGCCTTAACAAACAGCTGCCAAAGATGGAGTGGAAGAAGAATTTATACTTGACAGTCATTTGGAGTGTTTGACACTACACTGATTTCTGGCAACGAAGACAAAATAGACTTCTTTTCTTTTGTTTTTACTTAATGTGCAGTTTTTTAGTTGCAGTTATCTAGTTCAAGCGTATTAACCCATTTGTTAAAACATATTGGCTTTAACACTAAAAGGAAGAGGAGGAGGAGGCGTATTACAAAAGAGAAAACAATGAGCAAAACATAAAAATAAAGATACAACCTTCCCTCTATAACATTAAGCATACATGTATATATATGTGTGTGTGTACAGTATGTATCCACACCACACATACACATATCCACTCACATGCACAAACACACACACACACACACACACACACACACACGTTCACTCACTCACTCACTCACTCACATTCATTTATTTGGAAGTTGTAAAATTAGCCTCAGTTCTACTGAGAATAAAAAAATAGAAAGAGAAACAATATACACCTTTAAAAAATCTGGTCTTTGAGTCAATTTCACTGCATTTTCTTGTTCTTTTTAGCACATTCGCTCAACTCTCCAAAAGAAAAGTCTTCCAGATCCATTTAAATTTAATATGAGGCTTGTTAGTTTGGAGGTAAACAAATTAAGTCCTGCAGCAAATGTTAATGAGGGCTTTTGTCTTAACTAACCAAGGAAACTGCAGCACCTGACTATGGACTAGCACAGAAGACATTTCTTTAAAAAAAACAAACAAACCCAGCCCACAAGCTGCATATTGTGTGAAGACATTACAGATTAATAAATGATAGCACCATGGTTTTAGAAATTAAGTTAATGTTTCTGTAGTTAACATTTAGTCCATCTTCTTATTATTCTAATCACAGGCCAGAAATTAATTTTTTAAGAACCCAAATTATTGTATGTGCAAGTAAGAAAATCTTAACCATAAAAAGTGAATTAAACTCTGCATAAAATTCTAAAATACTATCCCCTATTTTTTTTTAAAGGAATTAGGAACAAATACCCCCCTTTTCATTTGACTTAGTCAAACAGGGCACATTGTTTTATGCTTGTTTCTTTTAACCTTGATCATATCAAGATCAATTTAAAGTAAACCCAATGGTTGTCATTCTTACAATCTCTTTACCACAACACTGAGTATTCTATGGCAGAGGCATACGCATATTAAAGGCATCTTAATAAAGATGCAAAAGGAAAAAAAATACACATCTTGGAAGAAGACAAAATGGCAGGCCACTGATACTTCAGTTCTCTGAAGGCCAAAATTAAAAGTATCTTTCCCATTAAAGAATAAGTCAAGTTAAAGAGAAAGGGGATGAAATGGGGAGCATCATATGGAGAGAATAAGCTGACCTGCTCAAATTCAAAGTGCTAGGATTAAAGGTCTAAATTAAAACATAGTCTATGCCTCGGAGTTTAACACTGAACACAGTATGTGGTCATATTTCAATCCTCCTTCCGTTCCAGTGTCTGTGCGGCATGGATGCCGTTGCTGTACACAGGAAACGGAAGAGTCGAGAACAGTCCTTCGGCAGTTGTGAACACATTCCCTGCAGGCATTTGGGTCAGGCTGGCTGCGCTCACAGCACTTCCAAACGGTCCTGACATATTGAGTCGGTGGACGTGGTGGTAGAGCATTTCCATTGGTGTTTTAGGATCTAAGCCAAAACCGGGGCTGTTAACGTCCACAAAGTTAACAGCGTGAGTGTTGGGGAGGAGATTGCCCTGCATGGCCAAAGTAACTTCAGCTGGGGCATACCGGATCGTGCCAGTGGTATAGACCCTCTGAGCAGCCGTGCTGGTGGCAGCAAGGGTTCCAGTTACCCTGTGAACCAAAGGAAGGACCACATTGCCTGCTTGCAATCTCTGTAGGGCTTCCAGATCCCCCGTATACAGTAAAGAATTGGAAGTGCTGGGGCCACCCGGATGCTTGTCCCGTGGAGATGCTGACAGAGGTGGGGACAAAGGGTCAGAGGATACAGGAGCCAAGGCGGAGTTGGATGAGGTGCTGAACTGAGATTTGCGATTGGCAGGATTTTCAGTCCCTGGCGGGGTTAGAACAGAGTCTGGAATGGAGACATGTAAACTACTGCTGGTTTGGGGGGAAGGGAAGTGCTCTGAGTTGGGGGGCTTGGTCATACTGTAAGGTGATTCATTCCTTGAGATTTCCCTGTTGGGTGGGTAATTCCAAATACTGCTATCGTTATCAAAATTGATAGGTTCTGATATCTCCGTTTTGATTTTGAGCACTGAGGCACTGTTTGGCGGTGAGAGCAGCTGGGGCTGATCCACCAATGCTGAGTCAAGCCCATTTGGACTTGAGGTGCTTGAGAGCCTTCTCCGGGCCACGCTGCCTCCTTTCTGCTTTTTCCTTCTCTTCTTCCTTTTTTGATGCTTGCTGGAAGACTGGGCATTTACTTCTCCTGCACTGTCTGAGTCCTTGGCACTGTCCGAGGTTAATGACTCACAGTTCTGTAACCGCAAGTCTGACTCACTCTCCACATAACGCTCCACCTTAATCTGCATAGAACCAAGAGTGCCAAAGCTATCTTCGGGGGCCTTTTGATTCTCAAAGTCAGAATTCTCAAAGCTGTCATCACTGTCTCTGCTGTCCTGGTTGCTGGAGCTGTTCCCATCATCATTACAGTTCATTTCATTATCTGACTGATTGCCAGACTTCTTCCTATCTGATTCGGGATCTTCGCTGTTTTCTGAATGGTTTCCTTTTTCATCTGACTTTGAATTCTCATTGTCCTCTGAGTAGAAAGAAAAGTGAAAAACATCATTAGGAATAAGAATGTAAGATTTAGAGCCCACTTAGACTCCTGGAGGCTGGTGAAATATTATTACTAGCAATATTGCTGGCAAAGGCATTTTCTTTTAAGTTTAAAACGATAGTTTTACCAAGAATGAGCTGAGTGACATTTGTCTGTCATTTAACTCCCTCCAGTTCAAGATTCTGCTGTTCAAAAAATAAAAAAACATACATGCTCAAGCTGAACGTAAGACTTGTTTTTTCTCCAGTAATGACAGTTTTGTGGACAGGCTGCTAAATATGTGTACAATCAGAAAAACTATACATAAAGAGTAAAATACCATGCATGAATAGCACCAGAAAGATTATCATCCATATAAAAGCCATTATTCCAGTACAGGGCAGACAGTTAAAATTAAAAGGGCCTAGAGAAGAGGAAGATCTTGCTCTGGAAACAATAATATTGCTATGTGAATGCAAGACGTGCCTTTATAGAAAGAGCCTTTTATAAGTGAAGTGTTTACAGGTAAGAAGGCTCCTTTTTTTGTAAACACTGCTCATTTTCAATATAGGAAGGATGTTCCTTGGGATGCTCTGCACCCAAACCATCCAAGGCTTTAACAAGCAGTGCTAATATTGCAAATAAGACTTGGAATAGTTTCTGCAGCTAATAAAACATTAGCATCATATTATTTGCCAGTCCTAGCGGCAGCTCTGCTTTAGACTAACTAAATATTCTGAACCATCTTCAAAGACATCCTCCCATAAAATGCTTTGCAGTAATCCAGCCAAGAGATTAACAGAACACATATGCTGGGTTCTTGCTATGCAAATAGGGTCAGAGCTGCTGTATGAATCTGAGATGACAGTAGCTGCTCTTAAGCGATGAGGTCATCTGGACATCCAGCCAACAGTGATAGATATAAGAATACTCCTCACCCTAGACTTGATTTTTCCAGAGTGCAACAGCCTCAAACCAGCCCAGTGTTTCTTACCAATTTTTATGAGAATTTTAGAGCTCCACTTATAAGTTATAATTGCAGTTTCTAACTTGGCTATGATGGTACGAATAAATTTAAAAATAAACCAAGAAGAACCATGCTTCTATGATGACAAAAAGTTACAAACAAGATGAGCGTTTACGTACCCGAGTTATCCTTTGAATCTGATTCAGAATCAGAGGTCTCAGAGGATTCAGAGGTTTTTTCTGGCAAGTGTGGAAGTTGTGCAATATCCATTGGAGTGTCCTTATACTCTGGATCGCTAAAAGAGAAGAGGCAGCCCATGTACACATACATGATAACTTGGAGTATGATAGTTCCCCCCTTTTTTCAAAATTCTTTTGAATGCCTAAAACAATAGAAAGCATAGGAAAGCATTTTCCCTCCCTCCCTCCCTCCCTCCCTCCCTCCCTCCCCCCTCCCCTCCCTCCCTTTCTTTCTTTCTTTCTTTCTTTCTTTCTTTCTTTCTTTCTTTCTTTCTTTCTTTCTTTTTCTTTCTTTCTCCTTCCTTCCTTCCTTCCTCCCTCCTCCGTCCTTCCTTCCTTCCTTTTTACCTTCCCACACCTTCCTTGGCAACTAAGTAATTAAAAACAATATAATATAATAAATTGCTAACATTAATCAAATATAGCCATGTGATGAAATGTAATACAGTTTTTGAGGTTTTTGTTTGTGGGTTTTACTTAGAGAATTTCTATCTTGGTTTTTCACTATTAAAAATAATCCTTATTTGGACCCCTAAGCACAACAACAGTAATTACATATCTTGATTCTTCACTCTTGAATCTTTGGGGAATTTTTATTAATACTACTTTAAAAATAGATGTCCTTTTTGTTCTGGTATTATCCATCAAAATAATAACTCTTTGTTGAGTAATCAACAAATACATAAGCCTTGTTTTCTGCTATTTCTCTTATAAGTGAATTGTTCATTACCATCTTCAGTATATGATGACCTCATTTTATTTTTGAGTTATTTATTTTTGAGTTATTTGAGTGAGTTATTTTGCATAAGTCACAGAGGAATTGTTATTTACAATTTCTGGGCTCATACATGAACTGTGTCATGTTATATAGGACCCTTCGAACTCTGTTATTCTGTATTTCTATTAATGCCAGCCCAGTAATACTTCTCTACAAGCAAGCATGGAAACATGAACCAAGAACATGTAAGAAGATAAAAAAAAAATTCCCCAAAGAATAAAACCATTGCATATCCAGGAGGATGGTTTGAGAGGGCTTTAGGCTGCTTTTACAAGTCCCTCTTGTTTTTATTGGAAAATCACTTTATAATTTGCAACTCGTATCAGAGGTTAATCCATGGAGGAGAGGAGACAGGATGCTCCTATGTTATCTGCAAATACTATGGAGAGGTGTAACATGTAGGTGGATTCCTCAAGCTGCTGGCCATTATGTGGTAGTCTTTAATTACTGGGAAACTATTTCTGATTTTCATTTATCATAATGGTAGGAAAGAATTGGGTTCAAAAGCAGAATGCCTCTTGCTATGTTCAATTCTCTTCAACAAGTGCTTGGGGCACTAAGTAATATCTGATTTCCTCTTTATCTTCAATTAAATCACAGTGAGGGGAAAGAGGGGTTACAGTCCTTTCTCTGGGAATAAAGGAAATGTGAATTCTTTCTGAGCTCACTCCTGACATAAGGCCCCAGCCTTTGCAAGAGGAAAGAGTAAAAAAAAAAAAAAAAAAGAATTACATGACCCATTTCCCCCCCAATAATTGCTTGTAAGGTCCCACATCTTAACCCTGTTTAACAGAAATAAGACTTATTTAAATCAACAAGAATTCTGAGGACATAAATTTAGGATTGATAGTGCACAATATTTCCCATTTTCTTTACATAAGCACATTTATTAAATTTAAATACCTCTTATTATTTCGTATCCTATGACTATCACTAAGTGTTGTCTCTTATCATTCTTGATAAATGTTTTTTTTTATGCACACTGAGAGCATATGCCCCAAAGACAAATTCCTTGTATGTCCAATCACACTTGGCCAATAAAGAATTCTATTCTATTCTATTCTATTCTATTCTATTCTATTCTATTCTATTCTATTCTATTCTATTCTATTCTATTCTATTCCTATTCCTATTCCTATTCCTATTCCTATTCCTATTCCTATTCCTATTCCTATTCCTATTCCTATTCCTATGCTATAAAATTATATACTCTTTTGATTTCCATTATTCAGACAACAGAAATAAAATTCAGGCATTTCCCATAAAGCATCCAGATAATCCATCTCTACTGGTCACAGTGTGCATTCACCAAGATCTAAATTCAGACCTAATATTTTCCTGTATACAATTCAGAGAGCTTAAACATCTGGCATTTAATCAACATGTCTAACATATCTGGAAAGCAAAGGGCACTGCATTTAACAGTTTTACAATAAATTCTATACCGACAATTGCAACAAACAGAGTTTCTGAAACAATAAGGGCCTTAGCTTCTTAGCACATAGGAACATTATCTCATGTCTTTTTAAAGAAGCCTCTGTCCATAGTATCAACCTAACAAAGGTTGGCTATGAATCAACCTGATTAAGCTAAAGCTTTACCTGGATTTAGGAGAATCCAGACTGGCAATCTATCCGATGACCATGCTTCTATTATTCATTAGTACACATTAATTATAAGCAGACTCACATTGAGTTCCTTGCATTTGTTGTTACACACTACCCTTTCAATATGTCCTGTAGTCACAACAAAAATGCCAATAATTGAAGTGGCAAAAAGATATACCTCAGAAGGTAATTAACCCAGATGATGTTCTTCTCATTTGCATTCTTGGCATTAATAGCGATGGTGGCACTAGACTGTATCCAAATATAGCCCCCACTTTTCTGCATCCAACGGTAGTATTTTGTAACACACTGACCCTTGTTCAGCACTGAATGGAAGGAACAAAGGCAAAAGGAAAATCATTGGCATTGCACTTATATACAATTGTTCTGTATTAAAGCACACACCACACCAGTACAAAGAAATTGAAGGATTTTTGTCCTCTACATTTCAGAGAAAGGATAATTATAAGAACAATTAAATCATTTCTGGGAGGCCTGGAAGAGTTGAAGGCAGTGCCTTGATTTGTAGTTTGATTTTAATCTGCTGTTGGCAGCTCGACTAAGCAAGGGAAAAGCAATCAGAAGCAGAATTTGCTGTGGCTCATGAAGCACCAAATCTGTGGACAATTCTGTTTCATTCGTGTGTGTGTGTCTCTGTGTGTGTGTATCATACACATGTTAAATTTCTATGTGATTTATTCATAGCTGCTAGGTAGTAAACCTCCTCGAGACTCTGGCTATTTGAAAGGTTTGGGAAGATACGGTACCCTAGTTCTTTGATCATTTCTCTTCATTGCAGGTGATATCAACTACTGAACTTAGACATCTGTTTCTTTTGATCTTGTCAAACAGAATTTACAGTCTTCAGATGAACCAAATCTCCAGTGGTCATAGGAGGAATGTCTGTAGAGACTTGGCTTAATACCAGAGCAAAATAAATCAACCAATGAACTGCAGAAGAAACTGTGGCCTAAGGGAGTTGTAGAATCAAGCATGTTAAAGCAAGAGTTCTTTGCAATGTTGAAATAGAACTAGAAATGGAAGAACAAGCAAAATGTATAAGTTCTGTGAAATTTTGCTTAAAGATGCTTCATAAAAGGATGTTAAAATTTGTTTCAAGCCAGTATTTCCAAGCCAAATGTTGTAATAGAGTTTTAGCTAATTTAAAACTCTCATACAGTAGTATATATGCTGAAATAAAGAAACAACGTGTTTTTGGCAGAAATACAAATATTGTGCTCAGTATTCTTATTATTCCAGGTTGCATTTCTTCTTCTGGGATGTATTTGTTCTCCATCCTGTAAATCTTGTGCACTAGAGGGCAGTGTGCATTCACATACATCTCTGCTTTTGGCATGTCCTTGTCTCCGTCTGCTAAAATGAAAAACCTCTAACTGCTGTAATAAATTTGGCTAAATTAGCTGCTAAATGGTTATCTCAAGTAATATGTATTTGCATTAATCATCTTGCTCTAAACCAGAACAAGCCAGAGTCCTAAAGACGTAGTAAATTCATATTGTCCATTTAATTATGGCTAATAAGTGCTTCATATACAATAGTTTCATGAAGTACATTTTGATTTTTTTGGGAAGAGGTGGGGGAAATTGAAGAAAATAAGTCACATTGAAGACAGGAAAAACTATGGTTAGTACTGTTAAACTTTCAACTTAAAAGTTAGACTTTGCCTTTAAAATTTGGCTGTACCTTCAGATTCAGAGAATGATATGCAAGTAAATGTAATGCCACCTAAAGTTTAAAGCTTACTGTACCTGAGAAGATACAAGCCTAAATCCATATTACTATCACAATCTAGAAAACCTTTTCTTCTCTTTTTAAAAGGAACACAGATGTAAATGCAAAAGTGCAGGATAGTTTTTTCTTCTGTTTTTGCTTTTTCTTTCTACGTACTTTCTCTGTTGTCTCTCTGCAAAGGTTTGCTATAGCTATCACTGCTGTTCAAGATTCCCATCTCAAGCAGAAAGGCTGCAAAAGTTCTTAGGCTTAGCTCAAAGGAGTTCGCTCAGGGGACAACTAAAGCTTTAGGTGCTCTTCTATTTATCCAGAGAGTCTGTGACACACTGTGTAACTACAATGGCAGTTAATCAACCCTTCTAGCAACCCAGCCTACCAATTCCAGGCCGCAAAGCCACCTCAGGATTTATGTTGGACTCAAACATGTATACAGCCAGATGCATTCATCTCCTGAGCTTAAGGCATATGGTACAAGCGGGTCTGGGGCTAAAGATAGGTGTGAATGAGCTCTGTTTTTTCTTTAAAAATAATACACCTAAATTTAAGATGAACTTGGGGCTCTTGGTGGAGGCGAATTGCAGGATAATTGGGCTCAGAGGATACACTACTTGATAGCATTTCTTCCCTGAGACTAGTAGCTTCACCCATTTTGAGGCTAAAGAAAAATAAGGCGGAGGCCACTGGCTCCTCTTTAACTTTTAACCGATAGCTGTTTTGCCAAGGGAAGTTTCTGCCTGCAGCTATTCTATGTCATCTAAATAGTATGGCAGGATTTAGGGTTCATTGGAGGACTAAAATATTTTGTGGTTTAAAGCCTTATCTTCTTCTCATCTGCCAATTCTTGTCAAGGGCCAACGTTTGAAAAGGTCTTCTTTCCTGCCCTGTCCTTCCCTTCTTTGGCATTCAGCATTTATGGCATACCACATTTATTAATAAGGATTACTTATTTTCCATATGCATATGTATGGAAGAGAAAGACAGATAGACATTTTATTTTGACTACAATGTTCTGACGTTGCAATAAGTTGACTGAAAGCTTAAAAGCTTTGAAAATTCAGTCAGATTTTTTTTTTGTAGAAATAGCAGACATTTGCAATTTGGGTTATAGTGTTTTGTAAACAAGGTAAAGTTGATCAGATTAATGCATTAATCAAAATGGATCTTGGCTTTTGTGTATTCATGTTTCAGATATAATTCAATGCTAAACTGCAAAGATAAGCAAGAAGGTGGAAAAATGTGGATTTTTCCATCAAACAACTATGGTGTTGAGACTTCAGTTTTATGCAAATACTTTTGAATTTATAATTAGCTTAAGACTGAGAATAAGTAATAGGGGAATATTTCTTTAAAGTTTTACTCTATTAGAATACCTCAGTTTATAAATTTATTTTAAAAAGTTTAATAATAAAGGATTTTTATCATTATAATCTATTGTTAACAGGTTAGCTGACTGCATTTCTGAGGGAAAAAATTAAGATGGCGGTATCGGGAAATGTATTTCTTTCAATAAACTTAATATTTTTACTAGTTACATTTACAGTTGCCCTCTTCTTGGGTTAAGCCAAGGCATATTTAGGATTATACTATAAATCATTGATTCTCATGCATTTTTTTAAAAAAAATACAGTTTTAAGAAAAAGAAATAGAGGCAATATTAAAATAAGTACCCTGTCAGGATTAACCAATTCTAAAAAGCACTGGTAAGAGATCTAAAGAAGGCAGAAGGTTCATGCAGTAATAGCAAAACTGCATGAATTAAATGTTCTTTCTTTTTTTTTTTTTAGGATTCTTAAAGGCCTAATAACCTCTTCTTTTACTAATGTACTTTCTGAAAATAAAGCAGATGAAAGAATGCAATTTGCTGGTTGTAAATTATTTTGTTTCACCTGGGTTAATATAATTACAAAAGAACATTTTGGCTTTTTACTCTACCTTAACACTTATGGAAAATAAGTTTTAGGAAAGGAAGTCTTTCTCTAATGGCAATTTTTCAAAGTGGTATGATGAATTGTGAACACAGGCCAACCAACATCACACAGGAAGTCACAAGAGTGGTGTAATTAAAGATAAAAAAGCTGACTGGGAATTATGAGAGTTTAGTGAAACACTTATGGAAGTGAATAGATTGGGGAAGAGTCCTTTAGAGAATGGGGAACCAATCTGATTCTACACCTAACCCATTCTGCCAAAATAAAATATCTTTGCAAGTAACCTTTTACATTATCTATACAATATCTATACTATATTTGTTTCTAAAAGCAAACCACTAGATTTTTTTAGATGAACCTTTTTTATAGTATTACTATAGTTTGACCCACGGTTAGTCTTCACAGTAACAAGATATGATTATAGGATAAGATTATAACAATAGTATAATTCAATAGTTTGTTGTATATTGTATATCATTCCCAAAAAGGAAATCTATTTCTGAATTTTGTTTAGAGAAGAAATAGAAAGAGAAATGTAGAAATTTTTTGAATAAAATAAAATGGATCAGTATAAGTTTCAAGATTTGTGTTTTTTTGGGGGGGAAACCATATTTCCCCCGCTGGTAAAGCTGTTCTTAGAAATCAAAGAAAAAACGTCTAAACCGCGAATTGTATTTTATAAGAAGGAAGTAATTTAATTCAGTTTGAAGAGGAGATGAAAAAAATATTGTAACAAAATGTGACTTTTTTAAAAAAGCATTCCATACAATACAATGTTTCCCTAGGTTACAAATGACTTTGAAACTTTGAGCATATTGCACATTTTGGTTCAGTAAATAGTAAACATGAAAAAAAATGAGATCAGTTGATTTAAGGTATCACATAAACACTGGTTTACAAAAGCCCTCATTACACCAGGAATAAAGGGGGGGGGGTTCGGTATGCAGTATTTACTGCTTTCACAAGAATAAGGATGAGCCAGAGTGATTCCCAAATTGTCCTAATATGAAAATACTGTTAATTTAACAAGGGGGGGGGGAGAGAGAGAGAGGGAGAGGGAGAGAGAGAGAGAGAGAGAGAGAGAGAGAAAGAAATAGCTCTGCATTTAGTACCACAGTTGAACACTTATCTGTTAGTATCATTTCTCTTTTTACATTCACAAAACTGGCAGAGGAAACATGAAAAGGAATACTGACTCTTTAATCTCTTCTTCTCCACCTAAAGCCCAAGGCAAGCTGACAGAGTAACTTCATTCTGGAAACAGTAGTGTGTGTGTTTTTTTAAGGAAAATTCTGGATTACTTTTTCTTCTGCTTTTGAAAACTGTGGACTATAGGGGAATAAACCTGGCATTGACTTAAAACAAGAACAAGTATTTTTTATCTGAAAAGTTACAGTCCTTGATGCTTACAAGAAGGTCATTTTCAAAACCCATGGGGAAAATAGCATCACAGGTAGAGTGCACTAAGTGCCTCACTTGCTTGAAAGAGAAAACATTTTAAAAATCTTAGCTTTCAGAATTATCTGTATCTTTGATGGCATTTTTACTACAAATTCTGCAATTAAGTTAAATAGCAATGACTGCTGAAGATTATTTAGCAAACTTTTAGGATACATGCTGTTTAAATAGAATTATGCATCCAAAAC